TTTTTATGCACAATACTCTACGGTAGCCAATTTACAGGTTACGGATGTTAGAGTCAACAAAATAATGTCTCAAGGAAAGACCTAAAAGAAAAAGCTGGCCGACTTTTGTGTTCAGCGCAAGTTTATTTTTTTTTCTTTCTGTCGGGCCCAGTTATGTGTAAATTCAGCTTTGAATATACTTATGCATAACAGTATCTGATAAAAAAAGTTACCATAAGTTACCATTGCTTTCTTGTTGTCGATGAATTGCTCACAAATGCTTAAGGGTTCAATTACTGAAAAATATGCGATGCACTTCATAGACTACAGATTATAAACGTTACAACAACTTAAAGCCTTTTTTTTAAAAAAAGCGAACTCGGGCTCAAAAAGCTACGAGTCTGTCGGTAGAAGAAACGAGAACTCTTATATTTAACAAATGTTGTCGACAAAACTGAAAGAAAATGTAAATAGGCGTATGAAACTTCATTCAAGCGGTATTCAAGGCATGAATTTAATATGGAAACAACTAATAATCCACAGAAAGGAGTCTGTTCCTCGAAGCAAGATTTTCGCTTAATGCTTTTATTTTTACAACTGAGACGGCAACCCAGAGAGTTCAATATAACTTCTTGTTCTCTTCACCTAAATGGCAACCAGGACCGCCAACCTGACAATAGGAAGCCATTCAATGTGCGTCTCAGTCAAATCTTGAAAACATGCATCGTAAATAACTAAGTGAGTAAGTAGGTAAGGAAATAATAACGCCCGATATCATGAAGCTGAAAAAGAAAGTAAACCAGACACTGAAAACGGTAAGTTATCAACTCCACCAGAGTTAAGAAAAGACAATAAATTAGGTAAGTAATTCCAGATTCCAGGTACTGGATTCAAGTCTTTGTCAGTAGAACCAAGAGACTATGATCTATTCTCTCTTAGTAGAACTTGGATTCCGGATTTCAATCGTTATTGGGAACAAACTCCTTTCTGTGGACAAAAGAGGATAAAGCTGGAGCTTTATCCCCTCTTGCTGTGGACTAGTACTTGTTTTTTTATTAAAGTCATGCCTTGAATACCCGCTTGAATGTACTTTACTGGCACTTCAAGCCCAACGTCTCTCCTCCTCTTTCCAGTTACTTGTGCAAAGAGTTTATTTTGGGAGTTTGCGACTTTTACGCGGGTAATCTTTTAGAGGACGGGTAGCTTGCAAACTAAACTGAACGCAGCGTTGTCGGAACAGCAACAAGAAGATTTATTCCAAAGAAGAACGTAGTTTCCACTGAGTAAAACTCCACAACAGACGTAACTCGTTAAACTTACGCGGCCTCCGCCAACTTGAATAAAAACTGCCGTCGTCACACTTTACTAAACACGACCAACGTCAAACTCTCTTCTCTTGTGAACACTAGTTAAAACTTAACTCGGGCTCGCCTACCTTATATACGTTTACAATAAGATTCTAGAACTTTCCAAATAGTCTAATTATAGAAAGATTACAAAATATACCGCTTTTAGAAACTCTTACACAAGATCCTAAAATAAACAAATTATGAACTCTCGCAAAGCTTCTAGAAAGTCACACTAGTCACGCAATATACAATTTTTCGTAACAGCGACCAGTACACCGACCAGGAAGTTTTTCAACAAGCGTTTTCTTTATTTTTGCCGAAAACATTTGTTAAAATTGAAACAGTTCTCGTTTCTTCTACCGACAGACTCGTAGCTTTTCGAGCCCGAGTTAGCCTTTTTTAAAAAAGGTTTTAAGTTGTTGTAACGTTTATAATTTATAGTCTATGAAGTGTATCGCACATTTTTCAGTGAATGCACCCCTAAGGATTTGTGAGCAATTCATAGACAAGAAGAAAACAATGGTTACTCATGGTAACATTTTTTATCAGATACTGTTATACATAAGTATATTCAAAGCTGAATTTACACTTAACTGGGCCCGACAGAAAGAAAACAAAATAAACTTGCGGTGAACACAAAAGTCGGCCAGCTTTTTCTTTTAGGTCTTTTCTTGAGACATTATATTGTTGACTCTAACATCCGTAACCTGTAAATTGGCTACCGTAGAGTATCGTGCACAAAAAAGATTTTTTCCCTTCATATTGTTTTCATATCAGTCGTTTTCAAATCATTTTCCCCTGCCGCGACATTGGACCCGCGACCGCGACTTTGGACCCGCGACCGCGACCTTGGACCCGCGACCGCGACATTAGACCCGCGACCGCGACATTGGACCCGCGACCCGCGACCCGCGACTATTAGTCAAACTCCTGCATACCTCTTCGCGCAATATTATGTTATGGGAAAAGTACGCAACTGCTGAGGCAATTATATAGGCATGCAACAAGGATAAAAGCTGAAGTTGTCAACCACCACCGCAAAAACTGCGAAAACTGACTGTGGTTCTGGAGTACCAATCATATATAATAACCATGTCGTAGTCAGCACGGCCAAATTTATAGTCGCGGAGCCCAAAGCATTACAACCGCTACAAGGCATTTCACTTTCGTCTCAAAACGTTTGCGAGGATTTTAAAGAGGTTCTTAAAAGAAACATTACTAAAGGCAGTAAGGGGGACGCCAATTTTTTTAGATGCCATTGAAAGATTAAGTATTTGTAACATTATATTATTGAGAATTAAACCACTACACAAATGAATAATTTTTAGTTCATGATTTTCTATTTCAATCACCAAACTGCAATGTCCTGTACTTTGCAGTAACCAGCTCTATCCACATTATCATTACCACCTTTATTTTCATCCTGCTTTTATTAATAATGTCACGGATTGTTTTCATTCTCATTCTCATTATCATCATTGCCAACATAATCATCAAAATTAATTCACCTTTCTCCCTGTCAAAGCTTTTAAAGTTATGATTAAGTCCGGAGCTTCTATGTTCGCAAGAGTTAAATCAACTTTCGCAGCTAAGAAGGAGTGAAAATGATCAGTAATATTTGATTTGTTGGCTTTGCAGTTATGCCGCAATCAGAATAACTACAGGTTGAGTACGGTTCTGTAATCAAAAGTGATCATATGCGAATTCCCATCAAGTTGGCAGCAAACCTTTCTGAAGCTTCTTTTATTTACATCAAGGATGGAACTTCTTTCTTCTCTTTTCTTTTGGTCAAGAGGGGGATGTCCAAAAATTCTGTATGATGTGAAGGGATATGAAAAAATTTTGGCCCTTTAAAAAATATCCTGTGCCCCTTCCCTACCCCCCCCCCCCCACTGCGGTATACATAATGAATGCAGCCCCACTTCAAGTAATCCTAGTAATTTCTTTTTTTTAATTGCTCTACAGTTTTTTAAGGTTTATGAGAGACTGCACGCAGTTATATTCATTTGCTAACCCAACGCAACGTATTACAGAAAGGGGCCTCAGCTGATGAGACTGTCTTAGTAGGCCCACCAGGTAACGGATTAGTGTTATGGAGCACAAATAATATACCATCAAGACCTTATTCACTCCCAAGTGATTTACTTTAAGAAAAGTGTTTTCTCCTTCGCACATTAAGATTTCATGGGTCAATTAACATTGCACATTTTAGTTGTCGCATGCTCAGTGTGCATTAGGCGAACTTGAGTAATCACATTCATTTTCTTCGTGTCGTTTCTTACAACACCCTTCTGTTTTGCTCTTTAGAAATACTCGCTACTTTCGAAACTGTGATCATGTCATGTGTCAATTTAGCAAATAGATTCCATGTTGCCGTGCGTCTGTTCAGTAGTAGATCACAGATGAAGTGGCACACGAGCCGCGGGCGAGTGTGTCAGTGATGTTTTTACCACATTTTGACGTATTCTGTGATCTGTTACTGAACAGACCCACGGCAACATGGAATCTATTTGTTTTATACAACGATCAGAAAAGAATAAAGACTGGTTCACATACCTGCCTCGTACCGCTTGACTGTTCGACGATTTGCTAGTTTAGGCATTTTTTATGTCCCAAACGCTACTTTTCGTCTTATATGTATACAATTTCTTCGAAAACTTTTTCGGCAACGTCTTTTGTTGCTCAACGCAGAATAATGGCGAAAACATTTTGCAAAACAGCGAGTCTCGTAGCGATGACACACGATGGCAACTGCTGTGAAGATTTCTTGTAGTTTGGGCATTCTCAAGTTGTAAAGAGTCTTTTTTAAATTTTGTCTCCGTTTCTCCATTTTTTTTCTTTGTAAATAGCTCCTGCTAATTTTTTTTCGAGGCTTTCACTTGCTTAAATCCAAAATAATCTCATAAGCATTTTCAAAACCGCGTGCCATGTTGAACAAAACAAAGTAAAGAAGTTTCCCGTAACGTCAGCCATGTATCTGTACTCTTATAGATCATAGACAACGACCAATCATAGCGCTCGTAGCTAGCATTCACATCATTGTATAAATGCAGTTAGACCATTTGTATGCAAAATGCTAAAATATGGAATGCACAAATTAAATTTAAGCTACGATAAACGTGTAACCCAAACGGCATTTTGTTTTACAACACCGCTGCCAAACGAGTTACGAGCTATTTTGCGGGTTTTACTACCCACGAATCAAGCCTCTCTTGCTAAAATTAGCAAGCAGACGCAGGCGTATTTCCGGTCGACGCTTCTCTCCACCTCAGTTTTTGAATGGTTAGAAGCGACGACTGAAAATACGTCTGCGTTCGCTGGCTAAGCAAAAAATCAGTATGTTTGCAGGTTACGAAAGATGTTGAAATAGTGAAGCTTTACTCCCTTTTAGGGTATAGAATACATGCAGGGTGTCCCAAAAATTCGTTCCTCTACTTTATAAGTCTGTAACGCAGTACGATTGGACTTGATAAACAAATAGTTTAAACCAAAAATTTGTCTTTCAATCTAACTTATTATTTTATACTTGTTGTACCATCTTTTGACTCGAATATTCGATTTTTGTCCTTTTGCGCCAAAGGTGCGCTGCGCGAGTAAATTTTAACGCCATATATTTTTCGTATTTTGTAGCCCGAATTGCTCGAACTCCTTCCTTGTTTTTTGTGCTGTTTTTTTGACATTCTTTTGTTGACGGTGGAGGACTGTGAGTTCTTGGCATGTTACGCTTTCATGAAAAATCCCTTTAAAAGTTATCGCAAAGACCTTGGATTTGTTTACTTTGGAAACATGGGTGAAAGAGAGAGCGAACCACTGAAGGTCGCCCTGATGAAGTGTTGTGAAGGTTCTTCCGGTCCAGGTGGCTCCCAAATTGTCACCAAAAATGCAGTGATGCAACTGCGACCTAAAGTTGTCTACTCTGTTGGCTGCTGCGAGAGTCTAAAACCACACACAGCGAGATTAGGGGATGTTGTGATATCCTCTAAGCTGTCTACCCAAGCCTTCAGAACTCCAGTGGGAAAAGATATCGGAAATCTCATTCAGCATTCAAGTGATGGCTGGAATCCACCATTGAGAATTCCAAACGCTCGTAAAGTAAATGTGCACCGTGATGGCGAGATATTGTGTGGTGTTGGTCTGCCCAGTGCTCAACTATTACATGTGTCCAACTCAAATGTGACTGCTGTTGAATCAGAAGGAGAAGGTTGGCCTTATTTTTGCTTTAAATCTGATATATTATTTGTAGGGTTACTTTTCATTTGCAGCCCAAAACCCATTGTAGTCCTCAACATCTTTTAACATAGAGAATTAGCAACACAGCTATATCTAGTTCAAGCAGTGAAGCTGGACCAATTTTCAACTAGTGTTTTGTTTTGCAGAAATAGCAGACGTTTTACCTTTTTATGTTGAAAGTTGTGATGACATGCTTCATATGGATATCTTTAAATTTTTGTACAAACTTAAGAATGACAAAAAATCAATATGACCTTTTAGCAACACTTCTCGTTCATGGCATAAAGATATAGTGAGAAAAAAAGAAAGTAATCAATTTTCATGAATTTGACAAGAAATTGTCACTTACTGCCAAGATTTCTTGTGAAGTTTTATCTTTTGGTTTAAAGTGCTCTTTAAAGGAAAAGCCTAAGAGAAAAGTAGTCTATTGTCTTGTGCTGTCGTCTTAGGCTCACGTTATACTACTAGTGATTCGCCAAGGAAGGACGGCTTGACTTCCTGGAATATCGGGAAAACACCAAGCCTGCATGTTTCTAGTTTGTTTTATTTCACAACATTTTGCTGATTTCTCAGATTATTTGGTCATGTTCATTATTTTTTTTTATTGCCTGTCAGGGTCAGGTAAAAGGCTTTATCACACATTTTTAAAGACCACGCTGTAACTTGTATGAGGCTGTTGGCCTGGGCAGTTGCAGCTTTCTGTAAAACGAGACTGGGTTTGGTTGCAGTATATGTGCATAACAGTCGCCTTTACCCTTTGGAATTTGTTTATGATTTTTTTAAAAAGATTACACAAAAAGCGGGAGTAACACAGAAATTAAATGTATGGTTAATCAAATGGTGATGAGTCAAATAAGGGAATAATTTCACTTATTGCCGCTACATGAAAGCGGTAAGTTCAAATTTTTTAGCGACATTTCTGGTCAATAGCCCGAGACTTTACCGATTAATATTATGGGTGACAAATTACATTCACAAGGTGCGCTGTTTTGGCGCTAAACTGATTAACATCGAGAAATTTGTCACCCATGATATTATGGAGTGATTTACTTATAATAACCAACAGGAGGGCATTTTGCATGCGCATGCGTGAATCCGCTGAATGACAGTAGCGTGGGCTCATCAAATCTGATGGCGGGAAATCGAAAACTCGCGCGTAAAGTTACAGTCCTTTTAAAAGCCATTTCGTTGGTGCTTTGAATACCGCACTTTCCTTCAAAAAATATTCTCCATCACAAAAATCAGACGTTTTCTACGCGGGTTTTCACTTGTAGATTTTTCAGCAGTAGGTTTCCTTGGCCTTTTAAAGACTTTCAAGACTCAACGCCAAAAAGTCATGTTCCTGTATAAGTCTGATTTTCACCGGCAAAGCAATGCATTTCTATGGTTTGATTTCCAAACTCGTGGTTTTACACATCAGGGAGGAAATGCATCGTAGCAATGTTCAGCTGCTTTAGGGCAAAAAGCGAAAAAAAAAATTACCACGCAAGGTTTATTTATTAGCGCGATGTCTCATGTTAAACTGATCGCGAAGACAAGCGTTTATATATGCCACAAAAACGTGAAATCTATGGGGTTTTTACAGTTTTTGAAAGTTTTCATGGAAAAATTTATAAAAATATTCTATAGGAAATGAAGAATGGACTGAGCTTGAGAAAGAAACAATTACAAGTGATTAGGTAGAACATAATCACTTGAGCATTTCTAAGCTCAGTTGCAGACAAAACGAATGCACGCATACTCCGAAAAAACGAACAGTACTTTTATTTTTCTTTAACTCTATAGATACAAAGATTTTTCCTAAGCTACTATTTTGAAAGTACTCTTGAGTGACAGCTCCTGTGCTCCACAATCGATTTCTTGTTATTAATCTGTATTTGATGACAGTAGTGATCCATTCAAAACAGAGAATGGCCATCACTCCATATAAATCTAAATGACGATGTTGTTCACCTTCAAAGCCTGTTTGAACATAAGATAGGAAGTTTGTTAAAGGGGTGCATATAATGCTGTTTCCTCAAAAAATAAATACTTCTGCTAAAGGACCCAAATGAGCTGGGATGTGACAACAAACATGACACAAATGGATGGATAAATTTGTCTGTTCTTAATGTTTCTGTTGAGAGCTTTTTACTGTATCCAGATGAACCCCTTATGTAAGTTGTACATCATGGAAGAATTATCAAGCAGAAACTGATGCACTAAACAAGAATGTGGTTCAATACAGAGGAGAAGCTGGTCTCAGTCAACATCCTTCGTGAATGAAATGTCTCACAAATTAGCATATCAACAAATGTAGTATCCACAAAATGGTATCATTTAGGAATAAATGCGATTTTTTGGCAACAGAAGCCAGGATTTATTTAAAAGGTATATTGATAACGTTTCATTTCGTGCTATTTTGGGGTTGGGGAGTTAGGCTAGATTTTCTTTAAAACGCCAAAATGTTATATTTATTTGCATAATGAAATGTAAACAAACAGTGTACCATCAAAATATGGTGGAAAAAAATCAGAATTCAAACCGATTGCTGTAATTTTTTTTCCTTTGTATAACTAAATGATAGAATATTCTTATTTTCAAAACACAATCTTACTGGCATCATTATATTGATTTAAATTTATAGTTGAAGTGCGTGTATTTTATTTCTCAACGAAGACGTACCGGAGAAGAAAGCTAAAATTATTACAGAAGGCGATTTTTCACAGCCTTCATCAAAGCGCCCTTCATTCGCGGAAGTATTCTTAGTTTCATTAATCATTAACTTAATCTGGGGAGAAAGGCAAGATTTCGAGATAAACAAGCCAGAGAAAGGGTGAAAAACAGTTTCACGGCAGAATGGACATTTAATTAACCACTGTATTCCTCGAAACGATTAAGTTCGATTTTAGAGTTATACTATTGAGAAGAATTAAGTATCTAGGATAATTGTTCGACGAAAAACTATCATACTGACCTTTTCCTCCTGCTCAAAAAATGTGCGCGAAATGTTAGGTGGTAAGAACATTCAGCCGCCATCTTGTCTTCGATGTACTGTTTTGCGAAAGGAAAGACTGTCCTCTCAAGGGCGACAGCGAGGCTACAATAAACTCACTTTCATCGTAAAAAAATACCACGATACCTTAAAGGACACGTCTGAGGAACGTAGCACCCAATACACGTCATTCAGCTCCAGAAAACAGCCTGCAAATGCTGGTACTGAACGTAAACAATTCACAGAAAATGCCTCTATGGCACTTCAACAGCCCATATTGACGCATGCGCATACAAAATGCCTCCTGTTATAATAACCCGTGAAATCGGGTAGTAGAATACTACGCATGCACTATTTGTAGCTATTTCGTACTAACCTGAGATCAGGCTCTATTTTCGTTTCGCTTTGAAAATTACATTCCGGCGGGCATAGCGAAACGAAAAGAGAGCCTGATACAAACCTTCTACGAAGCGTCTGCCGCCCACTTTTTTGATTGATTGACATTTGCCGAATCAGCCAACCAAAATTACTTCCGTTGCTTGTTTTTCTAGTAAGCAAATTTTTCACGCGTGGGAAAAATGCAGACTGGCTGACCTGACTTAAAAAATAGCTTTTGTCTGTTAATTTTTTCCGCTAAAAATAAAACAGTCAGCACAATCACATTTAACTTCTTGCCAGATTAAGGGAGATCTCGAAGGTTATTTCTGTTGGCGTAGAAGGTAAAAAGTTTTCGAAAAGACGGCGACACGATGTTCTACTAGTTTTATTATTTTGGCTAGGCGCGCTCGAATTTAAAATACTGAAATTTCTATTTTCCGTTGCCTTAATATTTTCCTCGGCAATTTTCCCCGATTTTCAGTACATAAATCTTTAAAAAAAAAACCAAACAGCCAACTAGCGAGGACACCAGTTTTCCTGGTTTATTTTTTACAAAAAGCGAAGGCAAACAACCAGTCTGTTAACACTGAAAATTCATTGAACAGTGATGGCATATTTTTGGTCTAATACTTCACAGTTGGCGATTGAGGTTTCTTTCACAGTGAGCCTCCGCTTGCGTACCCCGTTCAGAGAAGTCATTCCCGGCTAAACTTTCAAATGAAACCAGTTTTAAGAGGGACAGTATTTTGACTTGCACCCGTTTGCAGGTAAATCAAAAGGCACCTTGTTAGCGTTCCACAACTTGCAGAGGGATTCAACTCCGCGATACACTCACTTTCCGTAAATAAAGCAAATCCTGAGAAGATATTAACAACCATATGAATTTTCTGAATTTCCATGGCACATATTCCGCCGACGACAGATCATTCACGAAAACAACCACGCGAGGAATAAGCGCTTTCAACTTCCGGCATTTTCGACAGCCAATCAGATCTTGTGGCATTGTTCTAACAGCCAATCAGCGTTACGGCCAAAATCTGGCCGTAACGAGCACAAACGTGAATGAGTTTGGATCAGGCCCAATCATTGGGCCTAAAGTTTAGCGGTAGCCGTTAGAGAGAATGTATGAGAACCGCTAAAATTGGGCCTGATCTCAGGTTAATTTTGTACTAGTTGTTTTTAATTGTTTCACGGGTCAACTCGAGTAAAATCACTATAACAGAAACTTAATTTCATACACTTGGCGGGAGCCTGAATCCCGGGGCCTGAATCCGGTTCTTTTTCAATTAATGTAGACGAATGTATTAATTGATGAATTAACAATTATTACGCTAATTTATAATTTCTAAGCTACGTGCAAACGGCCGCAACATCTACCAACATTAGGGAGTTAAAGCAAGGACGATGTTGACGGCAACGAACGGCAAAAAAGCAATAGTTTCAGATTTTCAAAACAACAACTTTGCACGTGCATCACGCATTTTTGACATTTCTTTGCCGTCACTGCACGACTACGACGTGAAACCTCATAATGTTTTATGGAGAACATGAACACAAACAAAAAGGTGTTTCTTTTTCTTTTTGAGACAGTCCTTTAGAATTCAACTGATAACAAAATCGCTAACATTTGACAAGTTAAAAGAGTTGGAATAAGGGTGACTAAGTTTGTAACAGCGCGAATTCACTCTTTAGGGGGGCGTTTTCGCTGCCGTTGTCCGCCCAAAAATGTTGGGAGTTGTTGCGTCCGTTTCCACGTAGCTTAAAAGTTTGACTGGTTTCAAACTTTGCGCAACAATTCCCGACAAAATGCAACAACAGGGCTTGCAAACGGACACAACATGAAACATCTCAGCGAGCCCAGAACCACAATAGCCTACTGGAAGCCAAATTATAAGGATTTGTATGGATATTTATTTAAAGATCGATAAAACGGTTAAAATGTACATAAACAGCCATCGAAGTAAACATTACCTCATAAAGAGTTTGTCTGTGTCGTTTCCTCACCGTTTCCTGCCCTACAAACGCCATTTTAGTGTCTCAACTACGAAGAAGAAGACAAGGGAAAACTCGGCTGTACTACGCTAACAGAAGAAAAAGCTACAAAAATTACCTTCATTCCACTTCAATCGCTCCCAAACTTCGCTTGAGTATAGACCGAAGATCTTCCTTCCTTAAAAACGTCAATTTAGCTCGAAACATCGAGCCATGGCCTCAGGAGGACCAGAAATGTCGCTATATTTGAACTTACCGCTTCCGTGCTAGCCTGCGTAGCAGGCGTTTTCGTTTGGTTTCGGAGCAATGAAAGAGGGGGAAGGGGGAGCCAATTTTTCGCACGGTCTTTGACTCTCACTCCTTGTTCTTTGCTCCTAAACCGCACGAAAACGCTTGCTACGCAGGCTACTTCGGTGCATCCGCTCTTCTTCGTGGTGACCTACCGATGGCGTTGCTCTTGGCTTAGTAGCCAAGCTGCACATTCAAAATACCCTTGACGGGAACTCGTAATTTTCCCGACATTTCTCTGTAAAATGAGCGAAAGCGTTCCCTGGGCACCCCTGCGAATCTGTTTTTTTATGGGTTGATTTTTCCCCTGTCTATCCCTGCCGAGGGGATTTTTAATGTGCAGCGTGGCAACTACGCCAAGAGCAACACTATCGGTAGGTCACCACGAAGGAGAGCGGGTGCACGGAAGCGGTAGGTTCAAATTTTTTAGCGACAATTCTGGTCCTCTTGAGGCCATGGCTCGATGTTTCGAACTAAATTGACGTTTTTAAGGAAGAAAGATCTTCGGTCTATGCTCAAGCGAAATTTGGGAGCAATTGGAGTGGAGTGAAGGTAATTTTTGTAGCCTTTTGGTCTGGCAGCGTAGTACAGCCGAGTTTTCCCTTGTCTTCTTCTTAGTAGTTGAGAACCAAAACATTAAAACTTTCTAAACTGGCATTTATAGGGAAGAAAAGTGTAAGAAAACAACACAGAAAAAAACCTCTTTACGAGGTATGTATACTTCCATAGCTGCTTATGTATATTTTAACCGTTTTATCGATCTTGAGATAAATATCCATAAAAATCCTTATAATTTGGCTTCCAGTAGGCTGTTGTGATTCTGGGCGCCCTGTAGTAACATCCAACAATGTTCAAAGTTGTTGGTCATTAATGTTGCGTTCGTTTGCACCTGGCTTTAGGTCAGGAGGCTTTCGTCTGGGAAGAAATCCTGCTGTGCTCGCTTAAATTTTCCTTAGGTTTATAAGAAACCATCAAAGTTACTTCTTTTACAATGTTTTGTTTCAAGTACGTGTTTCACTGTTTGTTGTAGGTGTCTTTGTAGCCGCGCATGACCTGAAGATTGAATGGGTGATTGTCAAAGGCGTTTGTCATTTCATCAATGATCCCGATCCCCCTGATGAACTGTGGAAGTCGTTTGCCAGCACGATGGCAGCTTCTCTTGTGTCCAACATGTTAAATGACCCACTCGTTTTTAAAGATTGGCCACACTTTGACGGTAAGTGTTTTTCTGCTTGGTTGACGGCGTTACGCTGTATAAACCCAGTCTATCAACAAGGGTGCGAATCATCGGTCATGTTTGTATAAAAAGGGGGTACACGTTATTGCCATTTGGTCTGGTCACGGGATGTGGAAGGGTTGTCCAATGCACCCAAGCCATCCTAAACGAAGGATTCTCTGTATTAACGTGATGCAATATATTATATGAAATGATGCGTCTTGCTCTTGTCTCGTATAACGCCGGCGTTGTTTGCATTTATAGCGTCTCCCTTAAGATATTAGTAGAGCACTGATCTTCATTCGTTAGCTGGTGCGGGTGTCTGTATTATTACTGGATGTCTTAGCTTGTTACAGGCGCTTAGAGAGTGGGGAGATCGACATAAGGCTACAAAAGTGGTGAGAAAAGAAGGGCGTTCTCCTCTTATATTTCAATTTCATTGCGCTGCACCCACCGTTCCCCCACTATGCAAACGCCTGGAATTAGCCTTTTTTCGGGGCGGGGGGTGTCCTACAGTATTTCCGTTTAAACTTGCTGGTCCGTAAACAAGGTGTTAGCATCGACAGAGGAACGGGGTGTTGACATTCGCTGGTAAGGTTATTCACATTTAAGTGCCTTTTCCCTTTTGATTTCCGTATTCACCGATTTCTTACTCCATGATGTAATTTGTTTCTAGTCATATTACTGTAAAAACCAAACACAAATATGAGAAGGCGAAAAGGTGAAAATCTGGATCTTTAGATTTTGTATTCAATGTCGTTATTTTCTATTCTTAGGCAACATAAATGACAATCATGGGGAGGCAAGTAAGGAATTGGGAAAGATCGGAGGAAGGTTCAAGAATGAGAATGGTTTATCAGAAAACACACCAAAGGGTAAGTTACAACTCTAGAAACTTCCCCACGAACGTTTGGTGAGGAAAATGGCAGCTATCAAGAGAGGATATACAATGGAGGTCAAAAGTGTTGGGACCTTTCCAGTAATATTAGTAAAACTAGTACTTCTTAAAAGAACTTAAAGCCGATCATAAAATTGCCGTTAGAAGTAGGGTCCTACGTTATTACGTTATTACTTGGAAGGGCTTTTCACACAGTCCCAAGTTCTTTCGTCCTCCATTGTCTGAAATTGACTTAGTTTTATTTGGTAAAATGGTTTCTATACGCTGCAGATGATCCACCTGTTGCGCTAAAGAGTTAGGGTGTTCGGCGTGGACATTCAGTTTACACAAACAGAATTAAGTGATTATTTGAACGACGTGTTTTTGATTGAGTTTTTAAAGATACTTAATACTTGTAGTACTTGCTTTTACTATTTGAGAAGGCGCACTTAGAAGACACAAAAGGCATTTCTCAGCCAAGAAACAGTACGACCCTTTTGATACCGTACAAACTGGCCCGGTCGAGATATAATTAGAGCGCGCTCCCCTCAGAGAAAATCGGGGAGAGAGACGTCTGTGAATCGCAAGTAATTTCCGGTATTTTGATTGGTGAATGAATCTCAGAACAGATTTCCCGGGGAAAACCTCAGCCTTTGTGATAGCCTGCGAGAGCATCCGGTTTTTTCGGCTTTAGTTTCACCCGCCGAGAAAAATCGGAGGGAGAGAAGCCACGACGGGAAATACGTCTGCGGTTCGCAGGGTACCTTTGTGACAGCTTACTACATTTATATACCATCGTTCTATCCAGGGTATTTGAGGGGTAGAAACTTCCCCCTCAAAATGCCCTGCTTCCCCCCCAAAGAAATATTGTTATCATTACAGTATATAATTAACTATATCGGAAAAATTATCCAGACGCCACGAGGTCGGTGCACAATCTGTAACATTTCACAAAATTGTGTCTAAAAATGCACCAGACTGCATCTCAGTAGCCTGCGTAGCAGGTGCTTGGAGTAGTGGGGAAAAGAGAGAACGGGCGTGCCCGAGGGAGACACGCGTTTCTCCTTCTCGCGCGCCCGTTTTTTCTTGTGCCCACACTGGTAGCCCAAGCTGGAAATATGAGCATCGGCGAGGATCGGCATTGTTGCGTAACATTCAAAATATAAGAATTTGTATGGAAAAAAAACTATCGTTTCTGTAACCTACGAAAATGAAAGGATTTCAATGAAAAACAGCTTACCTTACTTAAAATGTGTGTTACGTCTCTCCTGTGTGGTCCACGGGACGATTTATGGCCGTTTTATGGGTTTTTATGTAAACGGTTTTCTCTCTAAACCTTTATATAGAGGTCTATAGAGAGAAAACCGTTTACGCTAGCTTGTGCTCAGTAATTGTATGACTCCATAAATTCGATTCGCTTTTTTTTCGCAGATCCGGTAACATTCGATAAAGTTTTCTTCGCTTTGTTAAGTGTGATATATTTTTAAGGACGGTGCCTTGTTCAATGGTTCATTTGCTTGGCCTCGACATTCCCATGAATTTTGAGCTGCCAGACATAACAAATGCTCTAAACCTGAATAACACATTAAGTTCCTATGTTATTAACCTCATGAGAGAAAAATAATTGTCATTTAACATTTTAATATTTTTACGTAAGAAAACTTGGCAAAATCAAGAGAATGAGCTAGAATGTTGACACACAAACGTAAAGAATGTTTAAGCTATGGGAGAGGTGCTAGATCGCAACGTGTTCATGTCCTCCTGTGCTTATGTATTTTGCGCGGAAAGCCAGACCTTTCCAGTCCCAACAAAAATACTCTTCTAGTTTTGAACCGGCTTAAGCCCCAACCCTAAGTTAATTTTCAATGCCGGGACACGAAGCTTTGATTTTGGGCGCGAGACTCAACAGAGACGGCTGTGGCCATTTTTTTGAAGCGCGAGGCGATCACAAGCTTTTTTTGAAATGTCAGTTACAAAGTACTTCTCCTGTTGCTGGTCTAAAACTAACTTCTTTTTCGAACTGGCGGACGGCACGTCCCATACAGTTCCATGCAACATATTCTACTCCTGTTCCTAGTCTAAGACTAGCTTCTTTCTCGAACTGGCGAACGGCGCGTTCCATACAGTTCGATGTAACATATCCTACTCCTGTTTATACACTAAAACTAACTTCTTTATCAAACTGGCGGACGGCGCGTCCCATACAGATCGATGTAACATTTCTACCCCTTTTCCTAGTATAAAACTAACTTCCTTATCGAACTGGCGGACGGCGCGTCCCATACAGATTGGTGTAACATATCCTACTCCCGTTTCTAGCCTAAAACTAACTTCTTTTTCGAACTGGCGGACGGCGCGTCCCATACAGTTCGATGTAGCATTTTCTACTCCTGTTTCTAGTTTAAAACTAACTTCCTTTTCAAACTGGCGGACGGCGCGTCCCATACAGTTCGATGTAACATTTTCTACTCCTGTTTCTAGTCTAAAACTAACTTCTTTATCGTACTGGCGGACGGCGCGTCCCATACAGTTCGATGTAACATTTCCTACTCCTGTTTCTAGTCTAAAACTAACTTCCTTTTCGAACTGGCGGACGGCCCGTCCCATACAGTTTGATGTAACATATCCTACTCCTGTTTCTAACCTAAAACTAACTTCCTTTTCGAACTGGCGGACGGCGCGTCCCATACAGTTCGATGTAATATTTTCTACCCTTTTCCTAGTTTAAAACTAACTTCCTTATCGAACTGGTGGACGGTGTGTCCCATACAGATTGATGTAACATATCCTACTCCTGTTTCTAACCTAAAACTAACTTCTTTATCGAACTGGCTGACGACGCGTCCCATACAGTTCGATGTAACATTTTCTACTCCTGTTTCTAGGCTAAAACTAACTTCCTTTTCAAACTGGCGGACGGCACATCCCATACAGTTCGATATAATATTTTCTACCCTGTTCCTAGTTAAAAACTAACTTCCTTTTCGAACTGGCGGACGGCCCGTCCCATACACTTCGATGTAACATATCCTACTCCTGTTTCTAGTCTAAAACTAACTTCCTTTTCGAACTGGCGGACGGCGCGTCCCATACAGTTCGATGTAATATTTTCTACCCTTTTCCTAGTTTAAAACTAACTTTTTTATCGCACTGGTGGACGGCGCGTCCTATACAGTTCGATGTAACATAGCTCCTGTTTCTAGGCTAAAACTAACTTCCTTTTCGAACTGGCGGACGGCACGTCCCATACAGTTCAATGTAATATTTTCTACCCTGTTCCTGGTTAAAAACTAACTTCCTTATCGAACTGGCGGACGGCAGGTCCGATACAGTTCGATGTAACATTTCTACCCTTTTTCCTAGTGTAAAACTAACTTCTTTATCGAACTGGGGCACGGCGCATTCCATACAAATCGGTGTAACATATCCTCCTCCCGTTTCTAGTCTAAAACTAACTTCTTTATCGTCCTGGCGGACGGCGCGTCCCATACAGATCGATGTAACTTTTCTACCCCTGTTCCTAGTTTAAAACTAACTTCCTTTTCGAACTGGCGGACGGCGCATCCCATACAGTTCGATGTAACATATCCTACTCCTGTTTCTAACCTAAAACTAACTTCCTTTTCGAACTGGCGGACGGCGCGTCCCATACAGTTCGATGTAATATTTTCTACCCTTTTCCTAGTTTAAAACTAACTTCTTTTTCGAACTGGCGGACGGCGCGTCCCATACTGTTCGATGTAACATGTTCTACTTTTGTTTCTAGGCTAAAAACTAACTTCCTTTTCGAACTGGCGGACGGCACGTCCCATACAGTTCGATATAATATTTTCTACCCTGTTCCTAGTTTAAAACTAACTTCCTTTTTAAACTGGCGGACGGCGCATCCCATACAGTTTGATGTAACATATCCTACTCCTGTTTCTAACCTAAAACTAACTTCTTTTTCGAACTGGCGGACGGCGCGTCCTATACTTTTCGATGTAACATTTTCTACTCCTGTTTCTAGGCTAAAACTAACTTTCTTTTCGAACTGGCGGACAGCACGTCCCATAGAGTTCGATGTAATATTTTCTACCCTGTTCCTAGTTTAAATCTAAGTTCTTTGTTGATCTGGCGGACGGCGCGTCCCATACAGCTCGATGTAACATTTTCTACTCCTGTTTCTATTCTAAAACTAACCTCTTTATCGAACTGGCGGACGGCGCGTCCCACACAGATCGATGTAACATTTCTACCCCTTTTCCTAGTATAAAACTAACTTCTTTATCGAGCTGGCACGTCCCATACAGTTCGATGTAATATATTCTACCCTGTTGCTAGTTTAAAACTAACTTCTTTTTTGAACTGGCGGACGGCGCGTCTCATACAGTTCGATGTAACATTTTATACTCCTGTTTCTAGTCTAAAACTAACCTCTTTATCGTACTGCCGTACGGCGCGTCCCATACAGGTCCATGTAACATTTCCTACTCCTGTTCCTAGTTTAAAACCAACTTTCTTTTCAAACTGACGGACGGCGCGTCCCATACAGTTTGATGTAACATATCCTACTCCTGTTCCTAACCTAAAACTAACTTCTTTTTTGAACTGGCGGACGGTGCGTCCCATACAGTTCGATGTAACATTTTCTAGTCCTGTTTCTAGTCTAAAACTAACTTCCTTTTCGAACTGGCGGACGGCGCGTCCCATACAGTTTGATGTAATATTTTCTACCCTGTTCCTAGTTTAAAACTTACTTCTTTTTCGAACTGACGGACGGTGCGTCCCACACAGTTCGATGTAATATTTTCTACCCTGTTCCTAGTTTAAAACTTACTTCTTTATCGGACTGGCGGACGGCGCGTCCCATACAGTTCGATGTAACATTTTCTACTCCTGTTCCTAGTTTAAAACTAACTCCCTTTTCAAACTGGCTGACGGCGCGTCCCATACAGTTTGATGTAACATTTTCTACTCATGTTGCTAGTTTAAACTAACTCCTTTTAATTTTCTTACTTATGGAAACTGGCGCGTCAGGAATTTTAATGTATCAGTACTGACTCGTGCGATTTTCATGCCGGGTTTTTATGGAAGAATAATAAATAGGTGAGCGGAATAGAGTCCCTTACATTTTACGTATAAACGATGATGAAAGTAGAATTTTGATTTTAAGAGTAGCGTGTGTTTAGGGTTTTATGCATCGGTAGCCCTTCGCGAAGGGTTGGAAGAGAACAGTGCACTTTGCAAACAGTTTAAGAGAGTGTGTTCAAAATCGAATACAGTTAATTTATGGTAGTTAGATTATAACTCAGTAATAACAGAACAATTGATAGTGAAGAGAAAGAAATTATTTTATTTATTGCAGTCAGTTTCAAGACCTCCTTAGGGCCTGTTTACATGGAGGTGGGGGACCCCAGGTGGGTGAGGTAACCCGCTTAGGTGGGGTAACCCGCCTGTCCATACAATCTCTCATTTTAATGCAATCACATTTACATGTTAGGTGGGGTAACCCGCCACATGTTACCTCACCAACCTGGGGTCCCCCACCTTCATGTAAAACAGGCCCTTAGATTGTTTTTAACAAGAGAGAGACGAGTATCTTTCGAACGATCGCAAGGGAGAACCCGGAAGTCCCCAGACGGGCACTTAGATGATACTAAAGCGCGCCGAATAAATTGATTACGGATTTTGAAATACGCGTGTTCGAAATATTTTTACCTAACTCTGCGTATTGAAATATGTACTAATTATTGTCTGCTTGCTTTTAGCAGTCTTCTACGGTCTATCGTATTAAAGCAAATACACATTACGCTGATTCAAAAAACTTGTCAAAATTTTCTACTCTGATGATTTCCCCGTGATTTCCTCATCTCTGACAATCTCGCCTATCAAAAATGTTTTGTTTTACAAAGGCTGCTTTATTCAGGCTTTATTTTCACTGCGATTTTACTTTATGTTTATTGAATGAACCGCTGGGTCTTAGTTTGAATACATTTTAATGTTTTCAAAGGCGACACTCAAACAAAGACTCTTAAAAGAGTGTTTGCGGATCATATTCTGTCGGCGTTTTCTTCTATTCACGACTTCTTAAAAAAAATAAACAGAAAGTAATTATGTCACGTTTTCCTACCGGCATTTTCTGGTTTGTTTTCAATGTATTGACATCATCCTTGACATAATAATGGATTACTGAAGACACCTCACTGGTCTCTGGGGGAAGAAAACCCAGCGCGACTTAGGTGAAGGTATGTTAGGAATGCTAGTACAATGTACCAAGGACTCGTATGCGGTACTTACAGTCGGGCTCTGCGCGTCCTGTCATGGACGTAACGCACATTTTATTTCCAAAAATTCAAGCGGATGCCGGCTCCTGATTGGGCACAAAAAATGCTTTGTATTATTGTGCCCAATCGGCGAACAGTTTCTCCTGAGTTCTTTTCGTGAGGTCGTACACGACGGCTATTGTTTTGATCACGGCTTGTCTGACTCATGCACCAAAGAAATGCACGCAGTCAGGAAGGTTTCAGTTTGATATAAAATTCCCATCTGATTTCAAAATACTGTACATGTCTGCCCGAAAACTAAAGACGCTTTTCCAAAAATACAAGCTTGAGCTTACAACAGGTATTCACGCTTCCATCGGTCACGTCTTGAGTAAATATTAGGGAATTTTTAAAAGATACCACGAAGGCTGACAACCACGAAAAGGTCGCATGGAAAAGGGAATTCACATTTTTTTCAGTTTCTATCGTGATTTTTTCTTAGTTTGTCAAATGCAAGCGAACTCTGCTGGAGCTGAATTTCTATCAACCATATCCAAGTTCATGGAGAGAATGAATTTTGTCATTGCTTGTTTACGTCCTTCACAAAACGTTAAATTAGGCATTTTCGTGGGTAGTCGTGCAGTTGACGGCAAAGAAATGTACAAAAAAGTGTGATGCACGTGCAAAGTTGTTGTTTTGCCTTGTTAAGTTATTCCTTATTTGACTTTCTCGTCGACGCCGCATCTTTAACTTCCTATTATTTACGATACATTGTGATGAGTTACAAAAAGATTATTCTCGGGGAAAGTTGAATTGCTCCTGCTGATAGCATCCCCAACGTTTTTTCGACTCATCGGTAGTTCTTTCGTTTCTGGTTAGGACGAATTACAACGAATCGGGCAAATGTGGCAAGACATTAGCCGTCGTGTACCATCTCACGAAAAGAACTCAGGAAAAACTCTTTGCCGATTGGGCACAATAATACAAAGCATTTTTTGTGCCCAATTAGAAACCGGCATCGGCTTGAAGTTTTGGAAATAGTTCGGTGAGAGTCGGTACCCAGGGGCTTTTTCGCCCATAATTGAAAACTTTCGTCGCGCCCTTTCTCCCGACCCGACTGACTGCCCCTGGGTCTCCGAGGATGATCCGATCAGAGACGGTTAACATTGCTGTGAATGCGTTTGCTTGTCTGGCGTGTCGTTTTGAGTGTCTTATTCACCTCCCAAGGAGATCGAGAGTTAATAGTTAACGTGACAATATTGAGTTTGCCTAATGGTCGTGGGTCGTAGGTTGTGGGTACAAGTCGTGGGTGTGGGTAAAAGTCGTGGGTGTGGGTAATGATTAAAAATTATTGTTAACATGAGAAAATGCAAGGGGTGACAGGCCGCACATCTATACCGGCGTGAAACCTTGTGTAAACCGCGCAAATTAGTTTAATCTCTCGAGGTCTCAAATTTATACCAGTCAACAAATCTATTAACAGGAACATGGTTAAAAATAAGGGACGGGCATCACACGACTCCTGCACTAAGTCGTATTAGAAGTAGTATGACCTTCAGAGCTTCGCTCTAACTAGTAGGTCCTTAGGAGATTTTCCCTTGTGATAAGATATGAGGGGAGGCTCCTTAAAGATTTCTCTTAAGTCGTTGCTGGTTTTGTATGGGGTGCCATTTCCCCATAAGTATTCTTTTCAGGCTAGGCAAAGCCGGGTGGTATTGTGTAACAAAAGGTAGAAGTTTTTTGCCTGCGGATTTGTTTCTCTGTTGTAGCGCTGTTTTCCTGTCGGCAAATTTTACCTCAGAGAGATACTTTCTTAAAATAGCGGCAAGGTAGCCTCTTTCTAACAGGCGGTTGTAAAAATGTCTGATATTCCTCTCAGATGTGATCTGCGAGGAATTAGTCCTTAGAAGCCTGAGCGCTTCCCCTTTGATGAAGCCTTTTTTCACGCTTGCTGGGTGACACGAGTAGAAGTTCGTGTACTGGAATCTTTCTGTTGGTTTGTAATGTGTTTGCACGTCTAGGATTGATTCCTTGTCGAATCTAACCCCTTTGTACACTTTTGCGTCCAAGAACGTGATCTCTGTTTCTGACATCTCAGCCGTGAATTTTATCGTAGAGTGAAAGTTATTTGCCTTTTCCACAAAGCTCTCTATTTTGTCTAGACTTGTGTTCCATAGCGAAAACACATCGTCAATATACCTTTTCCAAACAAGCGGCTTGATGCAACTCTCACTCAATATTTGTCTTTCTATTCTGGCTATGAAGATGTTTGCAAAGGCAACGGCCATCTTTGTTCCCATGGCTGTTCCATGGGTTTGTAGGTAGTTGCTACCGCAGAATTGGAACGAATTTTCTGTTAATATAAGGTAGAGCATTTCTCTAAGGTACTTGGTGGGTATAGGGGCTTTGTCCCCATAAAAATCTTCGTATGCGTGACATACGGTGGTTACGCCCTCTTCGTGTGGTATGTTGGTGTAGAGACTAGTAACGTCCGTAGAGACTAGCACTGGTTTAGGCAATTTTGTACTCTCAATAACCCCTCACTCAACCTATGGTTGAAACCACAAACAGAAAAGTTACGCAGCTAATTAAGTCGCTGCTGCAGGAAGGCATTGACGATATGACAGCCAAATGGCTATCCCTCACGCCTAATCCTCCGCGTACCCCTATTTTCTACACACTTACAAAGATTCACAAACCGACACCTGTCGGTAGACCTATAATATCAGGGTGCGATGGCCCCACAGAGTAGCCTGCAAAGCAGGCGTATTTTAGAGCGCGATCCATGAATTGTTTTCAGGAATGACGTTGTCCCGCCATCTTGGACGTTCATACTACCAGAGAGTTGGGACGAGTCAAAAAAAAGGTTTTAAGGGAGAGGTAGATGGGTTTAAAATAGGGGAGTGGGAAGGGAGGGAAGGAAAAAAAACCTCCGAGTTTTCGATAAAAAACGCCTGCTCTGCAGGCTACCACGGAGCGAATATCTGCATTTGTAGATCGACTCATTCAACCAATAGCACAGAAACAAGACTCGTATCTAAAAGATACGACAAACTTCCTGAATTTTGATAATTGTTTTTCTCATTCAGCAAAGCTAAACCCTCGTTTATCTTACTTTCTTTGCTCATCATGACGGATGTTGTTCTTTTGGTCTGCCATTTTGAGTATAATGGTTTTGCCACGCGACAATTGTTTGAGTACTTGCACAGGCGGCCCAAACTCACGTTGCGAGGGAAGGGTGTAATGTAATTTACATAACATATTCGTTCTATGAAAGGAGTAACAGCGGTTACGCAATAAAGCCAAAAAAATCAGTAAAACGACAAACAGACACCAAAACGCAGTGGAATAGATTGCAGGTATGTCTTTTTTATTCATTTCATTTAAGAAAAAGTAAGGTTTAGCGTTATTTAGCGTTCGCAGATCTCAGTAATATATTTCTCATACAAAGTCTCTTATATTTTCAACGGTCGCCTGTAATACGACACCGGAGCGTAACCTATGTTATGTAAATTACATTTCACCCTTCTCTCGCAACGTGAGTTTGGGCGGCCTGTGCTTCTAGGAAGGTTTCTAAAGCTACGGAAGGCTGGACTGGTGGATTCCAGTCTGATTTCACGTGAAATGGATGTGGCTCTCTTTCTTTACCGTAATATATGTACTGGAGGTGCATTCGTCTCGCAAATAGATCAAAATCTTTTAGGAGTTCGCGCCTGATGTTGTTTTCTGTTCTTACGGGTCCCGGGGGTTGGGTTACGGGTGTAGGGATACATTTTAAACCCCGGGAGAGCAGAGTGATTTGCTCATCTGTCAGTTGTTCGTTTGACAGGTTTCTGATGTCTTTTCTGTGTGACTCAATTATGTTGTTGCAACGAATTTTCCCTTTGTTTCTATTGCGTTCTTTTCTCTTTCGGTTGAAAACCGTTTTTTGCTTTCTGAATTTATCTTTTGCTTTTCCCCTTATTTCCAAAGACTCAGATCATAAACGGGGATAAGATTCACATCGTTTATTCTCTTGTGTTTCTTGTCTTTTGGCACCCGCCTCAGGTTTCTTCTCGGTTATATAGAGTTCAGCGTCGTCTCAAAGGTCATTTGCGGCCTCTCCTCGCTTGTTTTACCCTCCCCACCCTCCCTGGGTCTTATTTTATAGCCTGTATTTTCAATAATTGTGTCTACTAACTGGGATTAATTCAAAGATAGGCATCGTATTGCTTATTCAGATAAATAATGATTGACTACTCTTATATTATATGGAACTGATCCCGGCTTCCTTAATTTTCGGATTTGCTCTTTGCTCTTTTTAGCATTAAGTTAACTTGTGTGCGTGTTCTTCAAGCGTTTGACCAAAACAAATTTTCCCAAAATATTATCAAGATATTACACCAGTCCTGAAAATAGCTCCTATAGGTTCCTGCCTTTACCCAACCGTACCCATTTTCATACATTGTGTTATATTTGTTTTGTTATGTTATTAGTTATCGAGTAGTTAAAAAAATCAAAAACTTGTAATATTGTAAATTATTAATATTAAACAAAAATTAGTAACACTATTAATTATTAATTATGATTGAAAATTAATTTTTTATCATTACCCACACCCACGACTTTTACCCACAACCCACGATCATTAGGCAAACTCAACAATATTAGAAACGTGAGACGAAACTCGCACGCGCACCAATGGTTTAACACGCGCACCAATGGTTTAAGTCATATTTAGAGAATCGTACTCAAATGTGCTCCATCAACGGATCGCTCTCTCAAAGCTGTTTGTTAAGTTGTGGTGTTCCCCAGGGGACAATTTTAGGTCCACTACTATTTCTGTTATACATCAACGATCTTCCAAACTCTCTTCCAAACTGTGAGCCGAGGATGTACGCTGATGACACCCACCTTACATACGCAGGTGATAACGCAGACAATATTCAGTTGCATCTAAATCAAGATTTAGAAAATGTTCACAACTGGCTGAGAGCAAACAAACTTACTCTAAATATGACTAAAACCGAATTTATGCATATCGGATCTAGGCAGAGGCTAAGTACTCTCACAGAGTCCCCGACATTTGCAATTAATGATTTTCAAGTTAGCCAGGTCACTACTGCAAAATCACTTGGACTGACCATCGATGACAGACTTGATTGGAGTGGCTATATCGAGAAAGTAACAAAGAAAGTCGCTTCTGGTATTGGGGCCATAAAACGAATAAGGCACCTTGTCCCTCAGGCGACCTTACAACTAATATATCAAGCTTTAATACAGCCACACTTTGATTATTTTAACATTGTTTGGAGAAACTGTGGGATAACCTTACGGAATAAGGTTCAAAAGCTACAAAACAGAGCAGCCCGTGTTTTGACCTACTCAAGCTATGACGTAGATGCTGGTCACCTTTTCAAACTTCTAGGGTGGAAAAACTTAGCTTGCCAGCAACAAATTCAAAGAGCTACGATGGTTTACAGGTCTCTACACGGGTTGGCTCCAAACTATCTACATCTAAATTTGAAAGGCGAGAAGTCGCATATAACCTAAGGGACTCTGAAAATAAACTCAATGTTCCATTACCGCTCACAAACTATTACAAAAACAGCTTCAGCTATAGTGGCGCCATTCTCTGGAACAGTCTTCCTTGTAACTTAAGGGAAGCAGAGTCCTTTGGGCAATTTAAACGATTACTCAAAGAACTGTAAGGCACGGCATTCGTGGAAAGCAGCTTTTTTATTTAAATATTTTTATTATATTAGTATTAGGCAATTTTTAAAGCTGACGAATTTTGTACCGTGGATAAATAAAGATTATCTATCTATCTAAACTTGAGCGTCTTATTTACGACGTGCCAGACTAGCAAACGCATTCACAGCAATGTTAACCGTCTCTGATCGGATCAGATTCAAATCCCTTCCAAAACGGCTCATAAAGACACAGGAACAAAAGGTAAACACATTTTATTATTTTATTAGCAAATGCAGCGTTCGGGTTCCCTGTGCAAATGCATACCGGAACACGATTAAAGGGACTGGTTCACGATAATGCGCATGTGTGAGTTCTGACAGTAGCTGATTGTTTTTCAACCAATCGGAAGCGAGTTAGATGCACGCAAGTAAATTTACAAAATTCAAATTAATTGTTCGCGACGCGAGAGTATTTCCGGGCATTTGGTTTGATTTTATTTATCCCCATAATTCAAGTCTATTCTTTGCTACTCCTTAGATATATGTTGCAGCCGATAACAATAAAATTTAAAGCCCTGTCCTGCTTTGAAACAAACATTTACCAACGTGTATTTTTACGAGGTCGTACCCACGCTAACAAAGCAGTCACCGATCGGCAAACAGAATTTGTAAACAAACATCTTATTACTGTTATCTCAGTTCGCCTTATATAATCCCAGAAATACCTACAAATAGCGCCTGACCGGTGACAAAAACACACAACGTATGAGTATAAAGATTATCCTTAACTGAGCATAAATTTCAATTGCTTATCAGCAAATGAACAAATTCATTCGCGTTGCATTGGGTCAGTGTTCCGCAAAACAAATGTTATCGAGTAGAACACATAAAGAAACTAGATTATAAACAGAATATTCAGGCAATAATTTATTTTAAAAACATCAATTCTTAAACATATACGATCGTAAAGCAAAGATACAAGGAACATTTCAAGTGTACCAGATCGGTGAAGATCGCGCGGCCTGTTGCGGTATAACTACAGGTCGGAGTCAAAAATCAAATCAAAGTTGAACGAACTCATGCCTTTAACCACTTTCCAAGTGTCGTGTATTCTTTTCGTAAGCCACACACTACTCCTAGAACCATACCAGATCGAAAGGCTAAGCTTTTCTATCTCCAAAGACTCTTGAGAACGTCCTGTTGCCGGACGGCCACGATGCTCTTCTGAACCTCCATGATCAAAACATTATTTTTTGCGTCTTCTCAAAACGTAACCAGTCAAACGACAAAACCACACGTTAATCACCACTACCGAAGTATAACTAGACCAGCCAAAGCGACGGATGTCCGAATAAAACGAAGGATTTTCAATGATTGTACCGGTAATGGCGATTTCGAATTTAGTGTTGACCCAACAAAGTTATTCTGAAGAGACAAACGGCGCGCATGCGCATTATCGTGAACCAGTCCCTTTAACGACGGTGATTCACAGACGTACTCTCTCCCCTTTTTTTTTTATTTGAGGGGAGGGGACGTCTGTACACAGGCTTAAGAATCATGTGATGCTGTGGAAAATTATTCTTTGATTAACCTTTACTTATCTATTAGTGAAGTGGTCTCCCCGCGGTCGATTCTTCATTTGCATCATGTCCCTTATGGGCTACCGTAGGTACTCAACCCAGTTTAAAAAATAGATGGAGGTTTATCAACCACATGGTAAAAAAGGGGACTGTGAGTTCTCAAACACCTTAACCTAAAGTTCATAAGCAGTAGTCCATTTTCCTTGTTTCCCGCAAATTCAGTGGTCTGCTAAAAGGCTGCCGTTAAATCAAAAATAGGGCCCTTGGCATCTTCCATTTCCTTATTGAATCCCTCCTCCCTCCCCCGCCCCCCTCCACTAGTTTGGAATGTTGTACACTTGCTTTCAAGGCGGTGTAGCTTGTTCCAGGCTCCGAGATGGTCGGGTCCGCTGATTTCGCGTGCCTTTTTCTTTCGCGTCTTCCCCACTATCTGAGAGCCTGGAACAGGATAAAGGCGTTGCAAAATGCCTAAATGAGTTAATTAATAAAAGCTGAGTTTTGTTTATCAAATCGCCTTTTTCAAGCATAGTTCTACGTGTAGTTCTATTCATTTGTTTTACGGACTTGGAAAGTAGCAAACCAAACTGTTTAAGGCAAATATCTACAACAAAGCTTGGTTTTCATTTATTCGCAGCAGTTGGTTTGGTTGCCGAGCATATTGAAATAATTCGCCAGAACTACAAACGTCATGAGGGATGGCTCGCGCCCTTTCCTTGGTGCGAAGACTTTCAGTTTCAACTAAGCGATATTTATACACGGCTTCGTATGGTCAGTAGGGAGAAAAGAGCGAGAACAACAGCGGAGCAAAGAGTTGTTGAAACGACTGAAATCTTCAAATCCCACGATGAATGCAAAAAACCTAGAAAAGTATTGATTGAAGGAAAGCCAGGTATGGGGAAGACGACGTACTGCAATAAGGTTGCTTACGACTGGGCTATAAACATAGACAACGAAGAAGACTGCTTTCCGGAATTTGAGATGGTGCTCTTGCTGAAATGCCGTGATGTCGAGATCGAGTCCGATCTTTGGGGAGCCATTGACGATCAGCTTTTGCCAGATGAAATTCATCAAAAGGAAAGAGAGAAATTCTTTGAGTTCATTCGGCAAAATCAATCAAAGGTTCTACTGATACTTGACGGATTGGACGAGTTACCTTCGAGCAAACTGCCGGGGTTTACCGACGTCATACAAGGTAAAATGCTTCCTCTATGTCACCTTGTGGTTACAGCGCGACACGAGGCAGGGATACCTATGAGAAAGGTTTGTGACACTCTGCTAGAGATTGAAGGTTTCACTTATCAAGAGAGCAAAGAATTTATTCACAAATATTTTGCCGGCAAGGAAGATTTAGCCGAAAAGCTCTTGGATAAAATACAGATTGAGAAAAGGCTTAAAGAGATGACAGCGAACCCAATAAACACTGCACTGCTTTGCCTTCTTTGTGAAGATTTTCAAGGTATTTTACCTGAAAGTAGAACTCAGTTGTATTTGGAAATAGTACAATGTGTTCTTATCAGATACAGGACAAAGAAAGGTCTACCAGTCGAAAATGAGGATCTGATTGAAATCTACAAAGATCAGTTGAAACTCCTTGGCTTGATAGCTTTAAACGGCCTGTATGAAGACAACATGTACTTTCAGGACAAAAAGCTTTCAAGTGAAAATGCCGACTTACCTGAATTTGGCTTTCTGTCAGCTCAACCTGGAAGCAGCAAACGAAGACCGTGTATGTATTACGGTTTTACGCATAAGAGTTTTCAAGAGTTCTTCGCGGGACATTATCTTTGTTGCCAACTTGTTAGCAAAGAAACCAATCCAGAAATATTGGTCACTGACACAAGATATTTTGGAGCGCTGAGAGAGGTATTGAAATTTACCTGTGGTCTGCTTGCAGTGACATCTGAAGAAAGTGCCGTAGCCCTTATTAACTGCATAGCGAATGAGGTAAACAAAGTTGATGCGGGAACGGAACGTTTACTTGTTGCAGTTGAGTGCATTAAAGAATGCAAAATTGAAAGCAGTGATTTTCATATAGAACTGACACGTACCTTTGGCGCATGTCTGGCACTTCAACAGTGGGAGATCAAACGTAAAGGTCTAGGTGACGCTGCTAATGCTGTGATTGCTGCCGTGCTTAAAGCAAACACAACTCTGACGAATTTGAGTTTTTCAGGTAATAACCTTGGTTCTGCCGGTGCGGAGTCACTTGCTACAGCGCTGAAAACAAACACAACTCTGACAAATTTGGATTTGTCTGGCAATAACCTTGGTCCTGCCGGTGTGGAGTCACTTGCTACAGCGCTAAAAATAAACACAACTCTGACAAATTTGGATTTGTCTGGCAATAACCTTGGTCCTGCCGGTGTGGAGTCACTTGTTACAGCGCTAAAAACGAACACAACTCTGACAAATTTGGATTTGTCTGGCAACAACCTTGGTCCTGCCGGTGTGGAGTCACTTGCTACAGCGCTAAAAACAAACACAACTCTGACAAATTTGGATTTGTCTGGCAATAACCTTGGTCCTGCCGGTGTGGAGTCACTTGCTACAGCGCTAGAAACAAACACAACTCTGACAAATTTGGATTTGTCTAGCAATAGCCTTGGTCCTGCCGGTGCGGAGTCACTTGCTACAGCGCTAAAAACAAACACAACTCTGGCAAATTTGTCTTTGAACGGAAATAAGCTTGGTCCTGCAGCTGCCGGTGCGGAGTTACTTGCTACAACGCTAAAAACAAACACAACTCTGACACATTTGGTTTTGACACGAAATACCCTTGGTTCTGCCGGTGCGGAGTCACTTGCTACAGCGCTAAAAACAAACACAACTCTGACAAATTTGGATTTGGCTCACAATGGAATTGGTCGTGCCGGTGCGGAGTCACTTGCTACAGCGCTAAAAACAAACACAACTCTGACAAATTTGAGTTTGTCCCGAAATAGGCTTCGTCCTGCCGGTGCGGAGTCACTTGCTACAGCGCTAGAAACAAACAGAACTCTGACAAATTTGGATTTCTCCCAAACTGACGTTGGTCCTGCCGGTGCTAAGTCACTTGCTACAGCGCTAGAAACAAACACAACTCTGACAAAGTTGTATTTGGCTTACAATAGCATTGGTCCTGCCGGTGCGGAGTCACTTGCTACAGCGCTAAAAACAAACACAACTCTGACAAATTTGGATTTGGGTTTGAATGACCTTCGTCCTGAAGGGGCGGAGTCACTTGCTACAGCACTAAAAACAAACACAACTCTGACAAAGTTGTATTTGGCTTACAATAGCATTGGTCCTGCCGGTGCGGAGTCACTTGCTACAGCGCTGAAAACAAACACAACTCTGACAAATTTGGATTTGTCCCAAACTGACGTTGGTCCTGCCGGTGCGGAGTCACTTGTTACAGCGCTAAAAACAAACGCAACTGTGACAAATCTAAAATACTAATTACTCACTGTCTCATTTTCTTTCTTTTTTTTCTTTTTGTGATATTTGTAAAACTCACCACGTTCTTTCGATGTAAATGGATTTTTTCAGTTTAAGAAAAATCACGCATCCGCTCAGCCTAGTTTCGTAGTTAGAGCCTGGCAAGAAGGTAGTTCATGCAATGATATATAGAAACAATTTCAGTTATTGGACAAAGGAATTAGCCTGATTTCAGCCGTTTTCTCCGCCCGCTCACTTGAGACTGCTGAAATTCAGCATTACAAAGGAATGTAATCGAAATATAATTTATGTACGTAGAGGCTGTCCTTAAAATCCCTTTGTTATTCATTTTTTAAGCCGAGGAATTTTTGCGTAAAGTGCCAAATGAGAACTTTCTGCTTTAACAGCTCTCTTGCCGTTTGTGATGCATTTTTTCATTAATCATGTAATATGTAACAGTAAAGAGTGTGTCTTGTAATTTTGTACTTGTTAAGTTCAAGTTTTTAGAACTTGTGGATTAGCGTAAATAGACTGTGTTATGTGGAGAAGCTGCATGGGGATGATCGGATATAATTATCAGTGAGACTTTCAGCTATATTTAAGCCATCTGTTAATTTTTGTACCTCAGAATTCGGCTGTATAAAGATTAATAAAAAATAGATTCATCAATTTCTCGGCTGACGGTTAAAATGGTGGCCAATTTGCAGCTCTCTGTTAAATCCCATCCAGATCCTCTATGTGGCTAGTAACTAACTACATTGTATAAAAGACTGAAACAAGCTCTGCTTACACTTGTACTTTTAAAATGTCCATTGTTTCAGTTTAAGGTTTGTTAGCATGCAGTGCGAATTGTGCATTCTGAGACTTGCGACACTTGTGACAAGTTCGTGTCAAGTTCCCGTCGTAACAAGCATATACTAGTCTTTGCAGCTGATCGAAACTTTTGGGTAAATAAAAGTATTGTGAAGTATTAGTAAGAAAAACGTGTGCTTGTTTCATTGTTAACCCCACCTTATTTTTTTCATATTATATCGTGCATCAAAAAAAGAAATATTAAGAAAAAGTACTGGTACAGTAAACAACATCCGCATATAAGAACACACGATTTCGGAGGTCAGGCTGATTGAGTTCTTATTTATCGGGTGCTTAATGACAAATCAGCGTCAAAATGTTCTTAAAATGTTCTTAAATTTTTATTTAGTAATACTATCCAAGGCATGTTGCTAGAGGTATATTTAGCATATTTTAGGAAAATAAAATAAATAATTATTCTGTAATTGGATTATATTAAAAAATGAAGTTATCTGACAGCAAACATTAACTTACATGTTTTGTAACTTTTTCCATTTTATAAGAACATGTTCCAATTGTCAGGCTGATCTTGTTCTTATAAAAATGGGGCTTTATTGGCCAAATTTCAGCCTGGTGTTCTTAATCCATTTGTTCTTATTTGCGGGTGTTTACTGTATTGTACCTGTGATGGGTGTTGTCCCTCTGAACAGTGTTGATCCTTTGACCGGTCGTGTCCCTGTGACGAATGTTCAAATAAACAAACAAACAAACAACAACAACGCTCTCCGGCTCGGGTTCAAGCCCATACGCAGTGGAATATTCGCTAACGGTCACCATCTCCCGTGAACCAACAAGTTTTTTCGTGATTAGCCTTCCGTTCAAATGCATCCGATAAAAACTACAGGACGAAAAATCAAGAATCCGTAAGCTTTAACGTGGCGGAAACACGTTACTCCTTTGCGGAAACACAGCGGCAAACGCGTGTTTCCGTAAGCGGATAAAAATTTTTGAAAGTGAAGAAGTAACAGCATCTGATCTCACGAGGGATAAGAATGTTTCAGTTGTTTTAAAAGATTTGCGGCATATCTGTCATATCTTACGTTAAACTTATGAAGCTTTTTGCTAAAATGGCCAAGCTTGCTTTTTCAGAATATTACTTAAGGTCTCGGTAAAGGAAAACGAGGTGCCCACAGAAAAAACATTCTAGTCGCCCGAGTATTTTCGCTACAAAGGCAAGTTATATATCAAATTAAAGCTAAAAGACTAAATTACCTTATAAAATATTTTATTTTATCGAATTTCAAAAGGCGCTTAAGTTTTGCTCTCTCGAACTCAGAGGTATCGAGGTTACTGCTGATCATGAAGCTCCAGCCCTTTCGCGTTCTTAAATATTCACTTCCTTTTTATTGCGTCTGATTGACAGATAAAAGACCTTTAAAAGGGTGTGAGGAAATTTGCATGTCTCGTATTAGCGGAATTATTGCATTTCAAACTAAAAAGTCGAATCTCGAGCGCGATTTACGCAAAGAAACTGACATAAAATGAGTTACAAAGGAAAATCGGAAAATCCCTCTCACCCTTTTTGAGTCTATATCATTATCCATCATATCTGAAAGTTTCAAAGCGATAGCTTAAAACATGTCCCGACTGGAGGTCGGAGAATTTTGATTTTTGAGCCTAAAATAGAGTGAGAGAAAATCAGCTCTAAAGATTTAGCGCGAGGTCCATGCTTGGCTGGTTAGCTCACAAAAGGCTGATTTTAGAAGGGTTAAAAAGCACGTTCTGATTTTCTTTCTCTGCCAAAATAAAATTTAGGACCCACTCACGCCAAAAATCCAAAAAAAAACAAAATCGAGCAATGCACTAAAATTTTCATTTACCGAGACCTTAATCAGTGGCGCTTGCTTCAAGTTGGCACCGGACTCGAAATCGAATTGTTGAACGACTCAAGAGAGGTTCAGAGGCAAGACCTCGAAGGTACTTGGCCGGGGGCAGGGGAGATACTGTAGCAAGTTTTAGGCGGGGAGTCTCCGCCCTGAGGTCCAACCCCTTACCCTTTTATATACCATTTTTGACAGAGAAGGTTGCCCTTTCGTATACCTTCCACTGAAAAATGGTACCGCTTACACATACCTAATTTAGAAGTTTACATCCCTTTTAACTGCTATAAATACACTGTCTTTAAAGTATTACATGTGATATATCACAAAACCGATAGAACATTTACTAGACTTTTTCACAGCCACAAAATCCTTCTTTAGCCCTTTTAGGTCATCTCACAGACCAAAATGACAGATTTCCCTACCCTTTCTTATACTTCAACAAGTAAAATCCCTACCTTTTCATATACATGAAGCCTGAAAAAGGCCCCCCTTCCGGGCGGAGCCTCTCCATATAGGCCATTATGTAGTGAGTACCCTACCACGGTGCACAAAGTAAGACTGGTAGTGCTTAATATCAATCAAACATTGATTGGTGCACGGGAGAATTGTAAAATGATTCAAGGCTTAACAGTGTAAAAACATGTCCGCATGTTAATAAACATTATGGGATACGTGTGGTTGGGTGAAAACGATTGGAAAGCGATACGTGGACGCGAATCAGTTTTGCCGAGGTAAAACAAAAATCCGTTTTCGAACGCGAGTGTCGGGTGGACTTGGTTTAATTCATGGGCTCCAAGCTGCGAAATACGAACAACAGTTTTAAGGCCCTTGACATCTACGGCATTCATTCTTTATCTATCGTTACTTTATGAATTGCTAACATAATTAATCTTTGCCTATTAGCTTTTGTTATCTACCCAGAACCCCAGCGGGGACGGGGGCGGTGGAGGATTATTTTGGTTAGGAAAATTTTGGCAAGTGTTTTTTTGGGTACCTTGATTTAAGTAGGTAGTTTTCTTGGGCATTCAAAACAATCTGAAGATTCACGATAGTTCCCGCGTATTCTGGCCGCGTAGTTCCGCGAATAAGGTATTGGTATTTAAAAGCGTGGTCGTATTTTCATAAAACCGGTTAAATATACAATCAATCAAGTCTATAGTCTGCAAAGTGTCCCGGGGTGTAAACCAACGCTTCAATTCATTTTTTGTTGTCTTTTGTTGCATACAAACCGACAGGCCGTTCACTGTAGGTTCACACCGAAAGATGACTGTGAGCGTCAGGTTGGGAACGCCTGGGCCGCTTCGTGAATAGAGGATGTTAGCATCGAAAACGAGTACGAGTTCTAGAACGAGATCAGCGATTTTGCGTACTGCGCATCCGTTCTCTGCATCTCCACGTTTTCAAGTCGTCCTGTCAAGTTGCACTACGACGAGTTCTCACCAAAAACTCGAAGTGGGTAGAACGACTGGGAAGAGCTGGTTTTCGTTTAATGCAGTTTCTTTTCGTTTCTAGCCTCTCTTTATCATCTTGAACATTCCTTATATTATGTTTTATGTAAAATACTGCTTTTGAAGTCGAGGAAAAGCAACCGAACGCGACATTTCCTATACAGTTCTATTAACTCAAACTCGGTGTCATCGCTAACAATATGGAAAGATGAGAAAACGACTTCGAGTACGAGTACGGCTTGAAGTCGTTCTCGTACTCGTACTCGTACTCGTACTCGTACTCGTTGTTGATGATAACATCCTCTAATTATCGATCGATGTAGTACATGAGCAATTAAGAAGCACAATTTATGAGCAAAGTATTTCACCAGTTGACGACACTATGGCTGAAGACTTGATTGTGAGCTGTCGTAGTCAGTGAAGCGAACAACTCAGTTGCCGATGAATGGCAGATGAATCCTGATGTTACGCACGTCCATGAGCGAGGGACGTGACAACTTTGCCATGTTAGAAGACTGGCTTTTCCTTTAAATATTTCCTTCTATTTTATTTGGAGGTGTAAATTTTGGATACTGAGGATAAAGAAAACACGGACAAAAATAGTAACTCTGCGAATTTCGCACACAAGTTCAAGGCTTGACTTGAGGAAAATAGGAGCTATTACTGACAAGGTTTGGTGACTGAGCAGAGCATACAAGTGTAGCCCACGTCGAGGTTTCAGGGGGTTTGCTTTTGTTTGTATCTGTATCTTGCTAAGCTTTTATCATTAAATTTGTACATGATCTTGTTATCACAATTCTGTGTTTTCGCCCATTCAGCAAGCACGCTATATTGATGTCAGCTAGCATTAGCGAGTTTCAGAAAACATGCCTTCGAAAATTTTCAGCTGCCGTGATGT